TAAAACTCGGCTGTGAAGCCATCTGGCCCAGGGGCTTTATCATTGGGCATCCTTTTAAACACCTCTCTGATCTCCTCTCTAGTGACTGGTGCTAACAACACCTGCACACCCGCTGAATCAAGCCTCTGCCTTAATTGATTATGGAAATAGTCAACTGAATTGCACTGAACCGCTTTGTCAACCTCCCCTAAAAGCCTCTTATAAAAGTCAACTGCTACCTCTCCCATTTGCTTTACCTCTGTTACTTCTGTGTTATCATCTTGGACTAGCTTCATGATTGTCTGCTTATGATTTCTCACCCTCACCATAGCATGAAAATAAGCTGTATTGGCATCTCCTTCTTGGATATTTCGTATCCTTGACATTTGCCTGAAGAAACTCTCTTCTGCAAGCTGAGTATCATGGCAGAAGGTTGCCAACTTAGTCTCCCTTCTCACATTTTCTGCAGTTGGGTCCTGGAGAACTAGCTGCTGCTGTTGCTCAAGGGCTTTCTTTGCTTCTCTAGCTATCTCAGATATGTCAGAGTACTCAGATCGATTTAATTGCTTCAGCTTGTCTTTGAAACGCTTCAACTTATAGTAGAATTTTTGGTAGGATAGCCCTCTAGCCTCTCCCCCCCCCCCCCCATGCCTCATCCAATAGACTTCCATACTGTGGATGCTTCTGCCAGAATTTAAAATACTTAAAAGGCTTTGGAAGTGAGCCTAATTGTGGTTCCAACTCAAGAACCAGACCACAATGGTCTGATACTCCTGGTGCTAACGTTTTGGCTACACTCTGAGGAAAAGAAGCCAACCACTCCACATTTACAAGAAAACGATCGAGCTTCTTGGCAATTGGATTTGCCAGCTGCTTGTTCCACCAGGTGAATTGTGAGCCAAGGATCTTATGATCAGTCAGATCCATATCCTTAGCCCATCCCCTGAACTCCAGACCCCCCTGATTCATTACTGTAGTATTCGAAGCCTCTGAAATATCGAGAACAGCATTAAAATCCCCCATGTAAACACCAGGTTCCCCCACCACTTTATATTTCAACAACTCAGAGTATAATTCCACCCTTTCACTTGCTTTATTCGGGCTGTATATAGCTGTGACAGTGCAATTAGGAGCCCCTTCAATTCTAACCTGAATAAAGTGCTCCCCCATCTGAACTTTCTGAACCTTCAGACTAGGCTTCCAAAAAAGCCAAACCCTCCCTGAAGCTGAATATGCATAGTTATTTAAATGCTGCCAACTACTAAAGTGACGCTGAACAATATCCCCTGCATTCTTCTCCAATACTCTAGTTTCTAATATAGCTGCAAAATCAATATCTAACTTTAATAACTGTCTACTAATATATCTATGTTTCTCAGAGGCATTAAAGCCCCTGAGATTCCAACTCAACAACTTCATTTATTCTTCCTACCCCTCCCCTTCTTAGGAGGGCCTCGATCAACAAGAGCATGACCCTGAGCATTTAAAGGAACCCTAGCCTGAACAGCAGAGACTGGAACCTTAAGAGCAGAATCATACATAATCCCCTTCCCCTTCCTTGTAACCAATTGGAACCCGTCCTCATCAATCAACTTACCTGACCCAGCATAAGAGCTTGTAGGTGTAACATCCTGCCTACGAGGCCCCATTCCACTTCCAACAGAATCATCAGTGGACTGTCCAGAGTTATTCGTTTGCCCTAGAGCCCCCTCTGCTGCAACAGACAAGTCAGATACCAACCCCCCATTATGTGATTTTGCAGCTTCATCCTGCCTTTCAGGTTCTGGGCTAGGACCCATCTCAACAGACCCTTCCCCCTTCCCTGACTCTTCCCCATTAGTAACCAGTGTCGAGGCCTTAGGATTTGCAACCCAGGCTACCTCACTTGTCATTGCCTCTGCCCTGACAAAGTCCTTGCTAGCAGCAATCTGCACAACCTTGCATTCCTTTCCCTGACCCTCACAATGCCCAAACTCCTTGCACTGCTTGCACACTGATGGAACTCGAAGATACCGAACATCCAGAGACATTGGAGCATCTCCCTCAGGTACAACTCTGATCGCAGCAGGGAATTCAAACTCGGCAGAAACCTCTACACAGACTCGAGCTACACCTGCCTGCGTCCCAATCAGAGTAGCTTGATCCATCCAGAGTGGCCTCCCAATTAGACTAGCAATCCTACTCAAACCTTCCTCAGTACTATACTCAAGTGGCAACCCGCTGATACGAACCCAGATCGGGAGGGAATTCAAATTCATACTCACAGCTTGAATACCTGGAACCCAGCGTCGAAGGAAGAGGGGGTTATTGTCATAGTGCCACGGACCATTCTCGAAAACCCAGTTGCTAGTATCTGGATCCGAAAACTGGAAGAGAAATAGTTGCTCCCCGAAATGAGAGACCGTAATCCGACCATCACGTCCCTAGAATCGACGAGCCCAACGCCTCAGTAGCCCTATCTCCGGCGCCGCCGAGAGAAACTGCCCGACCAGAGCGTGCTTCCATCGAGCTGCCCCTTGGTCCCTCACTGCACGCGGTATGACCAACGAACCATTAACCACGTCCGGCGCCACATACCTCAACCGATTAGGCTCCCCCACGCCGAACAGCTGCGCCCAGTTAGCAGGGGCGCCCTGCGCGGCGGCCATCGGCCCTCCTTCTTGTCACCTAACTTGCCTTTTTTTTTCTGGAAATCAATTTTTTTATTTTTAGCAATAAAAAGAAGTATTGTTTTTGCCTTTTCATATATATTTTATCACTACGGAGAAATAAAGGGTATAAAGAAAAAAATTGACACTCCTGGACCCGTTTAAATCCGCATGTGTACGGTAAGTTAGCCCGTTCCACAGAGGAAAGAGAAAAAAATTGGCATTCCCTATTCTACCCTTCCTACAAACGCTTCTGGAGCAGGGAATTTTAAATGAGGGAAGAGTTTTTTCCACCTTGCTATTATATGTTTTTAATTTAAAAGGATAGTGATTGGTTATGATCCTTGTTTTTCTTTAAAATGGTCATGGTTCGAATCCTAGTAAGTATATTTTTAATGAATAAAAAAAAGTAATTGTGAAGACCAAAATGTCCTTCCTACTTTCACTCTTGTTGCAGGAAATTTGAAATAGGGCTCCCGTTTTTCCCTTTGACGTATTATAAGTATAGTAGATAGACAAACCTATGAAAAGAATGATTAAGAATGAAATAAGATTACATTCACTTTTGGGTCAACATTAAAACTATTAGTTTTTAAAAATATTTATTTTTCTAATAACCGGAGAATGACAGCGGGCGGACTTTTGCCAATCTTTATTATTTTACGCGGCTAAATTACACGTTTGGTCACTCAAATTATACAAATCTTTCACGTTTGCCACCCGAATTATTTTTCTTTCTTATTCGCCACTAACTTTACGAATCTTTTCACGGTTGGTCACCGGCCGTTACACTACGTTAAGTTTGTCCTACGTGGCAGTCAACTATAAAGTTTGACCGTTAACTAGATGACGTGGAAATTAAAATAAATAAAATAAATAAATTTTTCTTTCCACCTCATCATTGCACTTATTTTGTCTATATAGTTTATCATATTAATATTTAATAAAATTTAATAAATTACAAAAATGGACAAATCTAATAAAGGAAACAATCAGCGCCAAGCGAACATCGGATTAAAGAGGGACCATAAACCGTCGAGCGTCGCGCTCCACTCCTCGCCGCCGCCGCAACCAGCGCAGTTCCCCACTCCTCGCCGCCGCCGCTCCCCGCACCTCCTCTCGCTGCCGCTCCTCGCCCACTCTCTGTTCCCCGACTTCATTTTTCTCCCAGCAAAATAGATTCCATCTGCCGCCGTGATCTCTTTCTTCCCCGCATTGAAAAAGGTCGTCATCAAATATGTTGGGGTGGGCCGCGGTGATGGTAGCCGGAGGAATTTGCTTTGCGTTGGGGAGGGCGGCGACGCTGTGGGCATCACCCAAAGAAAGAGTAGGACGCCGCAACCTACTTCCCCGGCAGGCAAAACATGTAGAGAGAGGGCCTCACGGACTAAGAAGCTATCACGATTCTCCAAATTCAGTCATCATTGAGTAAAATTCTGAGATCCTAGCATTGGCCGAAAGGAATTCGAAATCGAAACCCAAAGCAGGAGGAGCGCACTAACCACAAGAGGCAAAATCCCGCGCAATGAAAAGCAGAAAGGGGAACGACAGTGAGAAAAGAAAGGAGCTCATACAGTCGGACAAGCAGAATGTGCCGGGGAAACGAGTTGAGGATTCTGGTGACCGGCGCTGCCGAGGCCGTCGTCCTTGACGCGGAAGCAGTCGAAGAAGCAGGCCATGGCCGTGGAAACGGAAAGATCTAGATATCCCAGCAGAGTTCGGCAAATGGAACCGATTTCAGGCTGCAGCGGTTATGCCCTTGTTGATTGTTGATTGAACAATGGAGTGGATGGTGAGGGTGAGGATGATGAGCATTTGGATTTGCCCATTTTTGTAATTTATTAATATGATAAATTATATAGACAAAATAAGTGCAATGATGAGGTGGAAAGAAAAAAAATTTAATTTCCACGTCATTTAGTTACTATCAAAATTTATAGTTAACTGCCACGTAGGACAAACTTAACGGAGTGTAACGGCCGGTGACCAACCGTGAAACGATTTGTAAAGTTAGTGGCGAATAAGAAAGAAAAGTAATTCGAGTGACAAACGTGAAAGATTTGTATAATTTGAGTGACCAAACGTATAATTTAGCCTATTTTACGCATTTACATGTTAAATATCTTTGCTGAGTCCACCCACACATTCAATACACTTGTCATCCTGATGATGGAGTGCATTAGCAGCGTAATCACGCTGGGAAGAGGAAGCAATGCACAACCATTATAGGAAGAGGAAGCAGCGCAACCATCCCATTTTGGGAATTGCAATGGTCATCCTCGCTCGCTCCCATCAAAACGCCTCCCTGATTCCGACCTTCCTCTTCAGTCTTCCCCTGCCTTATAAATACGCTTTCCCCCCTGTCATTCTCAGTCACAGCAAACCCAACAAATGGCGACCCGGAAAGTCACCCTGAAGCTCCTAATCAACAAGAAAACCAAGAAAGTACTGTTCGCCGAAGCAGGCAAAGACTTCGTCGATTTCCTCTTCACCCTCCTCTCATTCCCGCTAGGAACCGTGATAAAGCTCCTGTCCAAGAACAAAATGGTTGGCTGCCTTGGTAATCTGTACGAGAGCATCGAAGAGCTCAGCGACACATTCTTCCAGCCCAACCTAGGGAAGGCCACGGTTCTGAACCCAAAACTCCCCTCCCGTCCATGCGGCAGCACCATTTTGTTGTCCGACGGCGGCGAAAATGATGGAACGGGAGCAACCAGGAAGTTCTACATGTGCGGGACTCATCACCACAGGAATGTGGCTGATAACCCGCAAGCAATCTGTCCTCAGTGCAGCGGTAGGATGCAATACGAGATTCCCTTTGTAATTGCTCCTGCAGCTGCAGCTGGGAATGATGGAGCAGGGGATATGAACAGTCAAGAAGGTGGGTTTGTGAAGGGAGTCATAACTTACATGGTAATGGACAATCTGGAGGTTAAGCCCATGTCTACAATCTCCAGCATTACTATGTTGAACAAGTTCAACATTCAGGAAGTTGGTGCCCTTGAGGAGAAGGTCATTGAGCTGGGAGTGGACGAGGTAACCCCTCTTGTTTTTTTGGACAGAGGTACGTAGTTAATTAAACTGTATTCTGATTCTTCTGTTTGCTTGTTTTTAGGGGCTGGATCTGCTTAAGGCCTCTCTGCAGTCCCAGACAGTTCTGACAAGTGTTTTCCTTGGAGCATGAAGTGGTGGCCGGTTCGCAGGGATTAGTTCATGTTCTCCAATATTGTTGCAATGTTGGAGAAATGGGTTTCAATTTGGGTTTGGTTTCGCGAGTGATTATTCTACTATTATCAGTCTTGTTACGTTTTAGTTTTTTTTCAATGACTTTTGGATTTGGGAGTTGAGAGTGCGCCTTGTTCTACTTCAAGGCTAGCTATGTCATAATTTGAATGAATGTTGTCTAATTTTGCTTCTATTTCTGGTTCGTTGCTTCCTCTTCCATACGAAACACCAACAGTTCTTCTTGCAACTATAAAATCATTGGCATCAACGGAAGTTGTAGCTTTCATGAATCAACGAACTGAAAAGATAAGGCAAATGATTTATCTGGTTTTCCTGAGTATGAGGAGTACGACGTCAGTGAGAAATATAACTTTTCATGTTCTTTCTTTTTGCTTATCTTTGTTGTTCTCTAGCATACATATATACACAAGAGTATAATATACGAGGAACCGTAACCCTTTTGCCGGTGGGTTAGGGTATATACCTATGTTGAGCTTAAATCTTCTACTCATCATAGACTAATAACACATGAATATAACCAACAAGGGCATATGATCCCATGGTATTATTATAGGTTATGGCTTTGGAGCTTCAGATTCGAATTGCTTAAATATCACCTAATTATAAAAAAAAAAAAAACTACATCATCCTTATAAACAACAAATAACATATGCATACAAGCTGTCCATACAGATCAGATGGACAAATTTAAAATTACATGAATCAAATCATAAGTATAAATTGCAGTGAGTAACGGAATCAGGTTGAAACTAGAAAGGGTTGTACTCCCTTCACATGGATAAAATATATGTAAAGGAAAAGTTCTCTTCTCACGTTAGGTGACAAAATACCTAATGCCAGTTTATTCACGTATTTTTGTGCTCATTCATGTCATTTGGTGCGTATTCGCGTAATACTATGCTTATTCACGTAAGGGTGTCAGTTATTCACGTAAATGAAAAATCAGACTTTTTTCCCTTAGTAATTTGTATTGGCTATATTTTATGGAAATAAATTTGGATTTTCAATTAATTTGTAAAAATATGTTGCATTTGTCATAATATACACAATGACATCCATTTTGATATATTTAAAAGTTTAAAATTTAATTTTACAATGGCATGAATAAATAACAATATGCGTGAATAAATACCAGGTTGCGTGACTAAACAATATTGGTTGCGTGAATAAGCAACACTCTGACGTGAATAACGCCAATATACTGTGAATAATGCTAATATGGCGTGAATAAATGAAACGTCCGATGATTGCTAGGAAGTATGGGAGAAACTAGTTGGCATCATGTTAGGCGGAGGGGAAATGAGGCCGCCTATATCATGGGTCATTCAGACACAAGAGCTGATGTTCGATAAGTTTGGCTGGACAGTCCTCCGACTTTTCTGATTGATCAATTAGCAATGGACAATGTAACCATTAATATTGATCAATAAGAAGTGATTATATTTTTTTTAATAACCAAAGATAGCTGGTATTACCAAGAATAACAAAGATACAACGTTTAGACCTCCGAACGGAGCCAAGCGCAAAAATCAAAACTGCTCAAAATGGGCAGGGACAAAGAAAGGGCTTTTCTAGCCACTAAATGGGCTACCCTATTGTTCTACCTGCCTACAAAGTGCACAGAGAATCCTGGATGATCACGGTGCAGTAGCTTGTCCTCCTCCAAAAGAGCTCCGCCAAGCGCATAGTTAACCACCCTGCTCTGACTTTGTCGATGATACCTTTCGCGTCACTTGCCAGATTAATTGATGGAAAACCTGCTCCGCAACACCACCTAATAGACTCCCTTAACGCCACCAATTCCACCATTGCCGGATCTTGAACACCATGGAGCTGCTCGCCTTTCGCCGTAATGACCCACCCCCCCCCCCCACCCCGACTCATCACACAACACCATCCCAATTGCTGACCGCTCACCTGCACGAATCGCCCCATCAAAATAGCAAGTGACCCCAGGCGGAAATCTCGCGATCGGCGAGCATCCTATCCCCATCTCCTGGTTGTGCCACACCATCCCCTAGGACTGCCAGCCACTCCCTGACCTGACTCTGATACTGCACCACCAACACCGGAATGAGGACCTGCTTATCCTGAAACACAACCCAATTCCGAGCCTTCCAGATTCGCCAGAGGAGAGCCGCCAACCTGACAACCCTTTGCGGAGACCCATCCGTTGCCAAGAAACATCGAAGAAAAATACCAATATGCTCACGCGGGAACATGTGCATACTCTGCTGCAAGCTCGCTGCTTCCCATAGTGCCACTGCCACCGGACAGAAGAACATAAGATGTTCAATCGTCTCCTCCTCCGCCCAACACACATGACCCCTAGGCAACACTTCCACCTCCTTGGCTATTAACTTCTCCGTGGTAGGCAGAATCCGACGAAACACTTGCCAAAGAAAGAACCGAAGCTTTGGCTGAATAGGGTATCCCCACATCTCCATCCACAACTTGCGGTCCATCCAACTAACCTCCGCCTTCCATCGGTCACGAGCCCGGGAACACCGAATCGCCAAGTGATAACCCGATTTGATAGTGTACTACCCAGAAGGATCCTCATGCCAAACCAGCTTATCCGCAACCGGCAAATTGGGCAATGGGATGGATAAGATTCCCATAAAAAAAATGCATACATTAGATGTTTTTGTCAAGAGACTTGATTCATACATAAAAGAAACACATATATTTTACAATCTACTTGTGCTAGCGCTACTACACATTACACTTATTTTAACATTTGTGAAACAAAAGAAACAACCAAAGCAACCGGAGCAACATTTTCCAAAGGGAGGAAAAGACGTCTGAAATATTTGTAGCTGCTACCTCACAGACTCAACAAAACATCTTTCATAACCTCTCTACTCCTACACATGGCCTCCAACGGCTCCAACTTAGGCATAGTCAGCCCGTGACCTTCCGACATGTCCAACATGATCTCCTCACCAATCCTCTCCCACTCAAAGCACTGAATCAAAGCACCCACGGCCACGCTCACCACCCGGCTCGCCAGCCCCGAGCCAGGGCACGACCTTCTTCCCATGCCATACGACAACAATTTGTAACCATCCACCCCTCCTCCTCCTCCTTGGTGTCTCTCGGGCCGAAACCTCGTCGGGTCTTTCCATATCGCGGTGTCTCTATGAATAGCCCATGCATTGATCAGCAACATGGTTCCCTTGGCAATGGAATAGCCGCCGACGGTGCAGTCCTCCGACGATTGGTGCGGCATTAGGGTTGGTGCCGGTGGATATAAGCGGAATGTCTCCTTGATGATGAGTTGTAGGTACGGCAGATTGAGGCAGTCCGACTCTTCAACTAGTCGGCTGTTGCCGACGACGTTGTCTATCTCGGCTCTTGCTTTGCTGAGGATTTCTGGGTGGTTGAGTAAAGCTGCCATCACCCATTCGATTAAGGTCGCCGTGGTGTCTGTGCCGGCGAGTATAACTATCTACAGAGAGAGAGGGGAAGATTATAAAAAAAAAAAAGTAAGCATGTAATAACTATGTTTGTTTTAATAGAGATGGATGATAATATATCATTTTAAGTGAATGAAATTTCAATACGATTCCACCTAAAGGCTAAAGTCGAGTACCAAAATCGAAATATAACACCTATATATAGTAATCAATGAACTACGTACTAAAAAAAAAGCGTATAACTCTAAAATGAATATTATGCTTAAATAAATTTAGTATCTTAAATTTTTATAAAACCTTCTTCTGATTACAGCATGCTGCATGCATTATAAAAAATTGTAAAGTCGACTACCAAAATCAAAATATAACACCTATATAGTAATCAATGAACTACGTACTAAATAAAAAGCGTATAACTAGAGGTGGCAAATAGGATCCAAATCCATGAACCAATCCATTTCATCCACCAAATTATCCACCTAATCCAATCCATTTAAATCCAATCCATTTGATCCAAATCCAATTGGATTGGTGGGTTCATGGACCAATCCATGGATCCAAATGACAAATTACGATTTGGTACCTATATTTTTTATATTTTACATTTTGGTACCTAAAATTTATATTTTTATACAAAAAATATCATTGGAAAATTACATTTTGGTACCTAAAAATTTTCATTATGACATTTTAGTACCAAAACTTTTCAAATTTTACATTTTTGGTCCAAGTCTTGGATGTCATTTGGATTCATGGATCAATCCACCAATCCATTTGATCCAATCCATGAATCCACCAATCCATTGGATCCAATCCATTGGATCCAATCCATTGGATCCAATCCATTTGATCCATGGATCCACCAATTTTGGATTTTAAAATTTTTGTGAATGGATAAACGTAAAGATATACTCCAATTTGTAGTTTATGTATAGAACCTGTATATCATTTATTAATATCACAAATTTACTTGTATACATATTATTTCTAGGGGTAACAATGGATCAAGTTTGCAGCAGATAGTGCGTATCTATTACCATACCAAAATAGTTTGGATTTTATCCACATTTATACCAGCAAGAATCGGGTACAATAATAAATAAAAAAAACATGTCTATTTTTGATCGGATTTAGAGTGCTAATGGTTATAATCTATGGATAATTTCTCTTTATAACTCCAATCAATATATTAGCATTCACACGTATACGAACATTAAATAAGAGACAAATACAATAATAATTCACTAAAATGAAGAAAATTAGTTAAAAACAACACAATTTCATGAAAATATTATATACACAAACTAAATATCATATATGTTGGAGAAAAATAATGATCATTTATAGACAAAATACATATGCATTTTTATAATTGGGCGGGTTCGGGTTGGATTGTGAGAAAACCATGTTCATCCACTACCTGCAATATTCGGATTCCAATTCGAGTTTTACCCAGTCGCTCTTATCAATTATATAAAGCAATCAATCTATTCTTTCACACAGGATACTAGGTGGCATGATTATCATCAGAATTAGCTTACCATAGCCTGGCCTTTGATGACATCATCGGTATACGTTTCAGGTTCAGATTCCTGCAAAGACAACATCGTATCAATCATCGTCTTCCTCCCGCCGCGGCCCTCCTCCCTCGGCTTATTACTCCTCCGGTGCTCCTCAATCAAACGCTGGAAGAAAGCATCGCTCTTCCCCTGAGCCCGCCACATCCTCCTCTCCAGCCCTCCATAACCAATCCACCTCAGCACCGGCAAGAAATCCCCCGGATTCGACGTGGCACTCAGCTCCAGCACCTCACCTATCAGTTCCTTAAACTTCTCGCCTTCCTCCGTCGATGACTCATCATCGAAATACCTCTTCCCGGCGACCATCCTCATCACCATGTTCATCACCAGCCCGACCAGCCTCGACCTCATCCCCACCTTGGTAAAACCCGACCAGACCTCGCCAGGTTCTGTCACGGGACACATGTAAGTTTTGCTAAAAGGATAAAATCGCAATATATAGATATGGAAGAAATTGAACTCAACGATTTAAAGTGTCGCGTAAATTTTGTTTTTTTTTCTTCAATCGAAGTAATTTATATTTTAAAAAAAAGACACACCTAATTTCAATTTCTGACTTTGCCGTTGCAGGGCGCTGACGAGGCGCCTGACCTCGTCGCGACGGACGTGGAGCGAGGCGTTGAGCCGGTCGGCGGAGAGGAGCTCGACGGTGGAGAAGCGACGGAGGTTGATCCAGTGCGGGCCGTAGGGAGCCGTCCCCACGGTGGTGTAGTTGTAGGCAAAGATCTTCCACCCGATGAGGTCGTTGGGCCGGTTGGCGAAAACGAGGTCGTTTTTGGCGAGGCATTCCTCGGCTAAGGAAGGGGACGAGACGACGACAACGTTGCGGGTGCCTAAGGTGAGGGAGAAAACGGCGCCGTACTTGGTTGAGAGGGCTTGTAGAGTTCTGTGCACCGGTTGCTTCAGGAGATGGAGGTGGCCGATGAACGGAAGGGAAGGTGGGCTCGGCGGGCGGTCTGTGCGGCGTCGTTTCCGTGAAATTAGGAGCTTGGAAGTGATGAGGATTGAGAAAATTGTGGCTAGGAAGGAGAGAGCAGTCGCAAATATTGCGTCGTCCATTTTGGTGCTGGCTTTGTGGTTGCAACTTGCATGTGTGGTTTGTGAGCTATGGTGTATGGTGCACATGGTATTTTATATTGGGTTGACAAAAAGTTTCCAAAAAAAAGAACAACTACTCACGTCCTATAATATGATTTTTGTGTTCAACTTGGAAAGAGTAATAAGCCAAAATAATTATTGCATGGGGCTGCGGCAAAATAATTGTGTTTAACAATGAATGGAGATTTGGGTTAATTGTATGGTTGGTCACTGAGATTATAAAAACCGTTCAAATTTGATCACTCAAAATAGTTAAATTAATTGGTGGTACTTTAGTTTACTGAAATCGTTCACGTTTGGTCACTCTCCGTCCAAATTCGTTAACTTTGGCTGATGTGGTAGTCAACTCTCAAAATTGATCGTTAACTTAGTGATGTGATAATTAAGAAATAATAAATTAAATAAAATTTAATCTATTTTAATGTCCAACTCATTTTTACTATAAAATAAATAAATAAATATTATAATTGTTATAATATTGCTGCCCGCAACGCTTCTCCTCGATCACCCACTCGATTGCCGTGCTCGCATTGCTCGGATTTCGGTCGGGAAACTCCGCCAGCTTCACGCCCCCGAAATTGAAAATCCTATCGTCGGCCTGAAACGCGAAATCGCAAGGATTGGAGTCCAAGATGTCGATGTGGTTTGTAGCGATTAGCAACTTGATGTCTAGCGTCTTAAATCCCTGTGGAATCGAGCTCTGGCAGCACTCGATTCCGGAGCAGACAGCCGACTGGTTGAAACAGTAGTCCTTCATCGGACCCATAGGCGGAGGGAGAGGGTTTGGGATGTGCCCCAGGACACAGGTAAATTTTGGTAAAAAATTAACACATCCCTATATATATTTATGAAAGAGATAAAAATATTCAAATTCATCCCATTGATATAGTATAAAAAGTATTTTATCATTACAATGAAGCTCAAGTTTTGTTATTTGATTGATATAAAATTAATTTATACGCTATGAATGAAATCTTCAATTGAAATAAATCTCTATTTGGTTTCTTTTTTCTCATTTTTTCTATTCAATTTTGTCCAAGAACTATGAAGTCTAAACAGAAGGCTGTGCTACTTAGGGCTGGTCATTCGGTTATCGGTTGTCGGTTAACCGGCGGTTAAACCGATAACCGTCGGTTATCCGGTTAACCGATAACCGAAATTAAACACTTCGGGCGGTTGTCGGATGGAGAATTACCATGTCGGTTGACCGAGTAACCGACGGTAATAACCATCGGTTAACCGGCTAACCGAACACAAACCCCCTCCCCCTTTTATCCCGAACACGACGCCGACCCTCCTAATTTCCTAACCCTACGTCCCTACCCCAGACAGACCAGACCCGCCCCCTGCCACTCCCAAATCTCTTCGCCTTCTCAAATCTCCCCAGGCTCCCACTCCCACCCATCGCCGCCCGCTGTGTAGCGACGAACCAGAGAGCATCGCCGTCGGAAAACAGTATCGTTGCCGCCAGCGCCTTCTC